ACGCATTTATTTACTAAATACAGTCACCATCGTAATGTCTCCGTCATTTTTATTGTACAGAATATATTCCATATAGGTAAAGAGATACGAGAAATATCTCTAAATGCTCATTATCTTATTCTTTTCAAAAACCCACGTGTTCAGAGTCAAATCACGCATTTAGGCAGACAACTCTATCCAACAAAAGGGAAATTTTTCCAAGAAGTGTATCAAGACGCCACTTCGAAACCCTTTGGTTACCTACTAGTCGATTTAAAACCAGATGCTGATGATATTATGAGCCTACGCACAGGTATATTTCCAAATAATAAAATGATTGTGTATCAGCCACGTTAGTCATTTGCCCATTAATCTTTCGTGTTAACTGTAATTTTAGACACGTTAGCAGAAATCACTGTGTCTTCATTAAAGCTCAATCATTTGGAAAATGGTATAAATTAAATATCGTGAAGAATAAAATAATCAAATGCGATTAGAATGTCGGACAGTATGCACTGTTGTCTCGAGGTCTTAAAAGCTGTGGCTAAATCAAAATCGAAGAGAAAATTTTTAAAACACTGTCCAGCTAAATCTATTAAGTCTATCTGTGAATGTGTACTTAATTTGTTAAAAGGAAATATTCCTCTATATAAAAATCAAAAGAAGAAACTTTCACCTTATAAAAAGAAGCTTAAGAAAAATTGCAGACAAATGAGTACCTTTATACCGCAAGAGAGCAGTACTCATTCAAAGAGGTGACGGATTTTTATGATTTCTGATTCCAGCGGCCATAACAGCTTTAACATCTTTAATTAATGGAGTACGCTAAAAAATTTATCTTAGTTCCAGAAGATAGGCTACAAACTAACACTGTAGAATATTTATCCGAGTTGGACAGGCAAATGCATGATATTTTAAAAAATAAAAATATTTCTGACAATGAAAAAGCAGAGCTATATTTACAAATTCTCCAACGGTACGTTAAATTTCCTACTTTTTTGGAAAATAAAAGCGAACCAACTCAAGCAGTGGAGGAAAATGAAGTGGAAGAAAATCCTATAGAAATTAAAGAAGAAAAAATGACAGAAAGTGATAGCTTGATAGAAACGCAATTAATGAATGTCATACCCAAGAGTCAAAAGGATCGAGCTAAAGAGCTTTTACAATTCCTACAAGAGAATAAAGAACTGTTAACGTGGACTGAAAAAGGAGAAATTTTCTATAGACAGAAACTTTTACCTGGAACCAATATCACTCATTTAATAAACAATGTTTTGAGAAATGAAAAGAAACAACCTAAAGGACAGAAAGAATTTTTCGAAGCTTTAAGAGAAATGAAAATACCTGAAAAATTTGTTATTAATAAAAAAATGTTAACTGACTCATCTTCTGCAGTTGATTCACCAGTATTCTTTGCTAGAAAAAACAGATGGCTGAAATATTAAATATTATTTGTAAATTTTTTATGTTATGATTTTTGTAATAAACGAGTTTTCAAATCAAAATTTTCATTTGATTAAAATTTTTAATCAATATAGGTACTTGTTATCATACATATTTTACTATTAGGTACTTTTAATCAACATAGACACATCCATTACGCTTAGTATTATTTTAAGGATTATTATTTAAAAAAAATTAAATTCACAAATATTTCTCTGAAATTATATTAACATAAATTTTAAAGTTAAGGAGACATCGGTTGGTTTGAAGTAACCATCCAGAGTGCGGGACGAGGACCCTTCTCCTTTTGGCACTCCGCGGTTTTTTTAAGTGGACGTCGCCACTGCTTTTTTCTAAGTGGGTATAGCCTCCACTGCTTTTTTCTAAGTGGGTATAGCCTCCACTGCTTTTTTCACGAATGGGTCGCCTCCACGATAACTTTTTCATCTAAAAGCCGTAAGGTAGAGTAGTGAAATCTGGCTGAATAAATCTTTTGTTGTACACTATCCTATATTTCTTAACTTCTTCTTTGTTCACCACTCTTCTTCTCTTTGGATCTCCAACAATTTTAGCGGGATTGGTGATAGGTATACATCTTTGCTGATCCAGAGCGCATACGATATCCTTAACTGAATCGAAATTCAAATTAATTGAATTCCTATAATTCAGAGTAAATCCACGGACTTTACAAACAGTCTTTCCTCCAGCAGTACAGTAGCCATAATTTTTAGGACCTCCTAAAATATATTTTTATAAAATCACAAAGTTAATAAAGTAATAAAAAAAGAGTAAACATCTATCATACTAATTTAAATTTGTAAACATATTTACCCGAAACAAACGTTGTGATGGTATCACCGTCTAACTCATCGGTAAAATCCCTAAATAATCTCCTAAACTGGGGTCTTGTCCCTCTACTGATTTGAAAATGATGCTGTCGGTGTGGAAGTAGAGCACTCGGCTACCTAGTTTTTCAAACTCTCCATATAATTTCAATCGGGCGTATGATGTTGTAAACGCAGCCAAAAAGACGTTGGTATTTGAATCTTGGGAGACGAACTCATCGGCACATTTGTATTGCACTGCTGCCACTTCTGGTGTTGGCAAATACATATCTNGAGAAATTCATTCAGGTCGGAATTCTTTTTCTTCATATCCTGAAATTCATGCTCCCACATGACTTCAACGTTATATCTCTGTGAAGTAATCTGATGCAAAATCCTATTTGTCTTGTCGTATAAAGCTCCCATTGTTACCCCCTTTAAAGGATTGAAGGTGTCAGGAGAATAACATTTACAACATCCATGAAAAAAACAACCTTGATACTGAAAAACAGTATTTGTTTGCACACAGAAACCATCAACAGACACTCCCGCCACTTTTTTTTCTCCTAACCCGTTCATCCCATGCGCTATAACTATCTGATTCTTGTGAGCTATAAAATCTAACCAACGTATAGAATCTTGGCTGAAAAGAGTGTTGTTTAAATATCCATGGCTTGGAACCATTCCGACAGTGTTGGAAGGGATGTGAAGAGAGCGGTAAGTCGCCATACAGGATGACGCTATGGTCGTGTATGTGAAAGGGTCCACTTTAGTAATTTGGAGAAACTGTTCCCTAAACTCTATACAACATCGGCGTAGGATGTCAACATCAGATCTAAAAATAAACAACAAAGATTTATAAATAACTTTAATTTGTTACTTTATTTAATTTAAAAAAATAATATTAATAGTATAGATACCTGCAATACTCTAACATTTCTTTCTTAAAATCAAAAGGAGCTTGCTTTCTTGTCTCGTACCAAGTGTAAAATTCTTTCCTACCTTGAAGTGACATGCTATCTGGACTATAATATTTGGCATCCGGGAGCGGTCCTAAATAATCTTGATTTTCTGGGGTATTAAAAAGGTGGGGAAAAAAGCCCTTTGCAAGCTCGGTTATACCAAAGGTTTTTGGGAATTTTGATAGAGACATTGGCAAAAAGTTAAAAGAGTCAACAACCCTTATGTTCAATGTCGTATGATGTAGGGCCATTATCTTGGATCCATTGGGGATAATTTTAGGGGTCATTCCTTGCTGCAGCAGCCAAGATAAAAGAAATTGCCCATCGAACCCTTTCATATTATGAGCTATTACAGTGTATCCAGAATGTGCAGGGGAGAAAAGAAAGCAGCAAAATTCATGCAATGCTTCATATCAATCCAAACAACCAATCCAAACAAGGACAAACTCCTTACCGTCAAAATATTGTGCCACCGCAAAATTCACAATATGAACATTAGAACTTTGATCCGTTTCCAAATCGAAAAAAATAATCTTTTCATTGGGAGCAATAGGCGAGATCTTTTTTAAAAAACACTTATGGGATGTCATGTCAACAAAAATTTTACAAGAAGGACATTTAGATGTCCCACATCGATGCTGCTCTTTCTGACAATCTCTGGTTCTGATTAGCTTACAACACTTTCGGCATTGATATATTTGTTCACATATAGATTTAATTTGCCCTCCAGAACGAGCTCTATGACGCTCAAAACATTCTGTAGACTGACAAAGTCTATCGCAGCTAGTGCATCTTATTTTTGTACCCAAAATACATTCGGTTGAATAGCAGATGGCACATTTAGAGTTACACCGATGATCGATATTATTCTGAAAACATTTGTCACAATCATAACAATAATTATTTGCACCATGGAAACCTTTCATAGAAGTTATTATATCAAAATGGTTATCATGATGCCAAATATGTATCAGTGGGTGGACTTTGTTTCCTGACCGATGTATGACCTATAAATATTAAATATAAAAAAATTTTAATCTCTAAAATATTTGAAGAAATATTTTTTTTCCTTAAATATTATTAAGTGATATTCTATTAATATTTTTTTATAAAATAACTAAGCGTACAAAAACAAACATTTCAATTATGAATGAAAAATATTTAATAATTTTTTTTTCCTTTTTTTAAATTTAAGAAATAAACCAAATAATATGGTGAAGATAATATCTAAATAAAATTAAGAAAAAAAACTGTTTTCTCTTATTTGATAATTATTGTATATAGATTTTCAGTTATTTTAAGAGTTTTTGTTCAACACATTTTCTTTTCTTTTTTCTAGCAGTAATGAAAATAATTCTCTCATTTTTTTAATAATAAGATAATAAGGAATTTTTTTTTCAAAAAAAATAAAAATAAAGTATTAAAATAAAAAAATTATCGCACTATATTAGTGCTTCTATAAAATACTAAACAATCTAAGAAATTTATTTTCTGTTTTTAGAATATTGGTAAAAATGACAGTACAAAAAAAAATATATGAATTGAAAACTTACCTTATTCATGTTCTCAGATGATACCACAATAATATATAATCCAAGATGTTGTGCGAATTTGTCAATTTCTGGTAAACCACATGGTCCAACGGGTATCCCACATACGTCGTGTAAATTCAATGCACTATTCCGGAGAGTTGATCTTCTCATATCTCTTAAAGACTTATATCTGGCTTCATTTGAAATTTTTGCATGAGCTAATAAAATTGCTTGAGCACAACATAAATTTGAGTCATCAATCGGCACTGTAATAATAGATGATTTGCGTAATCGATCCATACTTATATTTATCACCCTTTTATTAGTGCGGCCGGAGCCCATTGGTCGCTTAATTGTTAATATGTCAACACTGAATCCATCATCAAGCTTGATTCTATCTTTGCTTTGCAACACTTTAACAACAGAAGCAAGAATTTTTTCCACAGTCATATCAGAGAACTTATATAAACAAGTGGAGATTGGTTTGTCGAGGTACTCAGAAAGGATGCAAAAACGAATTAGATCATCCCCCACTAAGTTAAAAGACATCATGGTCATCAAGTAAGAAAAAATGTTAGTTAACACATAAGCAACTGTTCGTAGAGGTACGCCTCTGAATCTTTCAGGAACTAACTCTGGTATAACACGAACTTCATAACAAATGTCCTCAGCACTGTACTTCTTACATGCACGTCGACCCTTTTCCACAATTTTAATACAGCTGATCAGCTAAAAAATAATTATGAAAATGAATATTTTAAAGAGCTTATATAAAGAAGCAAGAAATCGTAAGAAGCATGTATGTATTTTCAATATAATCATAAATACCTCTTCATCAGTCATATCAGCATTATAAACTTCATCTCTCCTGAAATTCTGCTGACTGTCAACATTCTCCTGTTAAAAATTTTTGCATATACATTGAAAATTAGATAATAATTATAAGGAATTATCCATGCAATTAAAATCATTAATTTAGCTGGAACCCTGTTTTAAAAAACAATAACAATAAAAATAATAATAATATTACTCGATCGTCTTTAAAACTTTTCTATGAAACAAATCATAATTTATTTGAATGAATCGTTAATTTTTAACGAGAGCTATTTAAAATACAAATTTGCAACATTGCTTTCTATAATTTTTAACTGAAGCATACATCTTTCTTTTTAAGATAAAATAAAAATAAACTTATAATCAAATTTAAATATGTAACTCACATCATTATCAGACTCATCTTCAAAATCACTATGACTATTTTCGAAATATTTACGCACTGATGGAGACAAATACTATTAAGAGCAAACAAAAAATATTATTAGTTCATGAAACAATTTATTGTAAAATAAGCATTAACTTTTGAAAAAATTAAATTAATGTTAAGAAATTAAATTAAATTAATGAAAAAAATAAAATTATCTTACGGAATCAGAATCAGAATCACTATCTGAATACGGCACAAAATTACTCACATCCTTTAAAAATAAGAGAGAGAATCTATATTACTTATCTTAATAAATAACTTTAATAAAAATTAAATTTTAATGAAGAAATATTCTTAATTTCTTACCTCATCATTATTCCCTTCCATCGTCTTTTATATTTCAGAATAGGGTCTTCTCAAAATTTAACACACATTAGACACTAGTATAACGCAGCTAGAGAGAAGTGTAAAATACTACACTGGAATAATATTTCCAATTAATTTGTCTTTCGTGAAGCTGCTCTATATGTACTGATTGTTATCAATACTATTGCTCATAGATAAGCTCTAACGATGTCTTTCCCATATCCTCGTGTATATAGATAAACTATATCCTTACAGTTGTGATTAACTAATAAAATACAGATTAAACTCAAAGGATACGGAAATCTATCTTGTTAAATTTTGTGAGAAATAGTTATAATCCCACGCTCAATAATCAGTGATATACTTTAAATTCTCCCATATAGATAAAATACTCCTACCCCGATAAAACTAAAGTGACACATAGTGAGATTTATCTTCTTAAATTTCATGTGAAATCCATGCCCTGTAATCAGTATAAATTACTATGTCGAACTTATAATTCTAGTTAGTTGATGATATACAGATAAAACTAAATCGTCATGGGCAGAACTTTGTAAAAATTTTGTGAGAAATGGTTATCATGTCTCTCTCACACTCTGTAATCTATATAGATACTTTTAAATCCGTTTCTTAATTTGAAAAATAAAGTAAGTTTTTATAATTACTATAAAATTAAAATAAAAAGTGAAATATTTACAGCGTCAAAAATACCAATTGTATGTTTATTCGATCTAAAATAAATCATTTGTAACTTAAGAAAATTTAATACATAATTAATAATATAATGTAAATATGTCGTTATTTATTTTAACCGAAAATAAAATTAATTAAAATATTTTTTTTTGTTTTATTAAGAAGTTGATTCGTTCAGAAAAAAGTAAGTAAAATTATATTTTATTGTAATATATAAATTATTGTAGTTATTTAACGTTTAAAGGAGGAATAAATTTATGCAACTGTAACTCTACTCTTTCATTTTCAGAAATATATATATATATATATTTTTTTTTGCAAAAATTTTTTCTTTTCTAAGAAAAATATTTGTTTTTGTAAAAAATCTGCTAGCTTTGTGAAAATATTTCAAACATTTTAATGAAATTTTCTAGTTTTTCATAAAATCACATGAATAACGAAGTCTCGTGTCTACTACTTATGTTAGTATTTTTCAAAATTATGAAGCATTTAATAGAAAAAAGTCCCCTACTTGCCGTCGAACTAAGTGTAGGAGGTTTTCGTGGTTTTCCTTCTCATATAACATGGGTACTCCCAAAGCCCTCTTCGAAGACATGTATTGCTTCAAGATCTAGGAGTTCCCTTGTCTTCTGGGTTCAAAATTGACAAGACTACGTTGATATCCGTAAATCCGAATGACGATGATAAAAATATCATCTTATAAAATAATATTCATTGGTTTAAAATTAATATGCCTTTAATTCTAATACTTTCAATATTCACAGTAGGCATACTTAATAAATACAATTTTTATTTCAATTTTGAACCAATTTATTTCAAATGTATTCATTAATATTGATTAGGTTAATAATAATTACAGTCATTTATATCAACTATATGTTAAAAAATAGCTAATTATAATATTAAGAGGGGCAGAAATAATTATTTAAT